TCACACTTCTCTGAGCTCACACTTCTCTGAGTTCACACTTCTCTGAACTCACACTTCTCTGAGTTCACACTTCTCTGAGCTCACACTTCTCTGAGCTCACACTTCTCTGAACTCACACTTCTCTGAGCTCACACTTCTCTGAGTTCACACTTCTCTGAGCTCACACTTCTCTGAGTTCACACTTCTCTGAGCTCACACCTGTATAAAGTGGACCCAAGAGTTTGGCTGAGTCTCAACCTGAGCGGGAAACTCAGAAGCCCTCAAAAGAACAGGGAGGAAGAGAACAATCGAATCAGCATCCTGTCGTCTAGTGGCAAGAACAGCTACCTTAGAAGCGTGTGGCTTTGTCATTCAATTTACCCTCTCTGGGCCTCAACTTCTCATCTGTAAGGTTAAGAATGAGATCAGTGTGCAGGTTTGTTCTGAGACTCGTCAGTGTCACCTGGAAAAAGTAAAAGTGACCTTAGTCTCTTAGCAATCAAGATTGAGCTTAGAACTGACTACAGGAGCCGGCAGCTGTGGAATGATATAAAGATATGGAGGTGGGTCTCTTGGCTGGGAGCTCCCTCTTTAGAGAGGTTTTTTTGAGTCTCACAAACATACAGGCCCCAGAGTCAATGAATCTGGATCCAGCTTGGGGCTCAGCTGTGTGACCTTAGGGGATGTTACTAAACCTCTCGGAATCTCTGTTCCTCCTCTGTAAAATAACTGCTCCTGGTGACCAACAGGTCCCTGCATCTCCAGAGGTGGCCCAGAGTTGATGAAACCGAGGCTGCTTGTGTCTGTCACCAAAGGGCTCCGGAACCATCAGCTCTTATTTTTAATAATCATAATTGGAATCAGCTCTGTGTAAACAGCCCGGGAGGAGGGTGTCGGGCATGTTGGCTGAAGGGAGATCCGGTGGCAGCCCCAGGCCCCGCAGTAGCAGAACACAGGGGCAGAGGGTGGGACTGGAGACTCCGGATGGGTGGGGGTCGGGGTGTAGCAAACAGAGTCACTGAGGGGCAGGGGAGGCCTGAGACCCCCCTTCTCCGGCCGTAGGGACCTCAGCAGCCAGGAGTTCTTCCATGATTTTCAATGCAAGACACACAATCCATTTTCCAAGGTGACCTTTGCATATCTGCTGGGCTCTGACCCTGGGGCTGCAGCTTTGTTGGGGTGTGTGTGCAGGACTGGGGAGGACCTGCGGACATATGGGTCTTGTTTCCCATTTAAGTTGATACATAAAAACTGTCCATAGTTATTGGTTAATGTTTCCATGCATGCACACACTGTACGGCTCAAAGCAGGGTGAACACCTCTGTCTGCTAAGCACCATCTCTCTGTGGGGAAAACATTCAAAATCCTTTCTGTAGCTTTTTTGAAATGTTCGATGTCATACCTGGAGTCACCCTACTGTGCAATAGCACCCACAGACTCATCTCTGCTACCTAACACAGCACCTACCAGTGGACATGTCCCCGTCCCTGTCCCTGCCTGCCCCAGTCCCTGGTCACCACCCTCCTACTCTCAACTTCTATGAGATCCACTTTTTCCTGTTCCACAAACAAGTGGGACCACGTCCTCTTTCTGTCCTGCCTGTTTTACTTGACCTACTTGCAGGTCCACCCCGGTGGTCACCAGCGACAGGTTTCATTCTTTCTTATTTCTTTTGACATTGCCTGTGTCCTGTCATTAAGGGGCTTTGCAGGACAGCCTGCCCCTCCTGCCTGCAGGAGTCCCCAGCATGGAGAATGAGACGTCCATAAAGCTGCCAGAGCCATCAGCCACCTGCTCTGGGCTCCCAGGATGACACCCCATCTGTCCCAGTCTGATTTCTTCCCAGTCTGTTGGTTGTCCAGAGGCTGAACAGAATCTTGTTTGGGTAGCAAGCAAAAAATCCTGTCCATGTTACAGGGAGTGGTGGGGAGGAGAGGCGGGCAGAGAAATGACCGGAAGGAGGGAGGGAGCCAGGAGGGAGAGAGGAGGGAGGAGAACCCCCGGGGTCTCGCCTCTGTGATGTTGAGTGGGAAAACGGGATATTTCCCAGGTCATTGCTGTTAAGTGGCCTATTGAAACTAATGCATCCATCCAGCAGTACATCCTCATGAGAGAGAGAGAGACAGAGAGAGAGACTAAAAGAATCCAAAGCGACCCTGAGATCAGCAAGCACAGTGGCAGAAAGCGGGGAGGACAGTGGCTTGAGGCCCTTCAGGATGCCTGGGGGTGAAGTGGCTCTCAGGTGACATGAGGGCCATCCTCCTCTGCACCCCCTGGATCCGGGACGAGATTGCTGAGGGACGGAGCGACTCAGACCCCCGCAGAACGGGGCCTGAGATGCTCCCGCCCAGGCCTACCTGATCTCCGCCCTCCGAGGCCAGCTCAGGAGGCTCAGGCTGAAGTGGCCTCCCCCCGGGGGTTCGTCCCCACGTTCTCAGTTCCTGTTTCCCTGCCACCTGGGCCCTGGAACATGGGGGGTTCTTACAGTGATGTGTGCTTGTCAGGTTTTTCACTGCTGTGAGCGAAGAACCTGTCCAGAACGATTTTGGAGAAGGAAAAGCTCACCTGGGGCTCGGGGTTGCGGTCTCAGTCCACAGAGGGGCCGCTCCATGGCTCAGGGCTGGAGGGGAGGCAGGACGTCATGGCCACAGTGTGGCAAGCAGAGGAGCAGCTCAGGACAGGGCACCAGGAGGAGAGAGAAGGCAGGCCTCTCCCCCGGACAAAGTGCGTACCCCCAGGGCTCGCCCATGCCCCCTCCTGCAGCCGCCCCTGCCTGCCCACTCAGCTCCCAGCTGACCCTGTCAGAGGACAGAGGTGCTGCTCGCGCTGAGGCTCCCAGAACCCAAACGCTTCCCCTCCCAACTTTCTGGCATTGTCTCACCCAGGAGCTGTTTGGGGTCACCTCCTATCCAAACCGTAACGGGGGAATAACAGCTCCATTATGAGCACGTCCTAGGTGTCGGGCCTCCACCAAGTGCTTCCCGTGTGTGGTCACTCAGACCTCCAGGTGAGCTGTGACACTGGCATCATGACTGTCCCCATAATGCAAAGGAGAAAGCTGAGGAGAAGGAGGTGGCCGTGAGTGAGGGGCACAGCAGGGACCCAGCTCTGGGTCCTCTGAATTGGTGGCCGGGACTCTTCATCACAAACAGTAAGAGCATTTCCTCATAATAGCCACACGCTGTCCTTGTGGGTGGGGGACACTATCCTTGTTTAAAAACATCTAGAGCTTCGGTGGTGGAGACAGTCCTGCAGGCTGGGAGCCCGGTCAGGGTGGGGACACTGGTGGAGGCTTCTGATCCTGATCAGGGAGTGGGCCCCCTGTGGAGACCACCACCTGCTGTGGTCACATGGACACGTTGGTCCAACATCCAGCCGGTTACCTCACATGTCCTTGAGAGGGGACACACCCGGGATGGGCATGGGGTGGGGGG